TATATATATATATATATATCAATAAGAATAACAATAAATACCTTCGTCGATATCACTTTCTTCATCTTCGTTATCTTCTTCATCTCCGTCTCCTACTTTAGCGGCATACGCTCTTTTGAGGCCATCGAATAATAAAATTAAGGATGGAATTATCCGTTGAACGCATTCGTTTACAGCTTTTGGTTTAGCAGGACCCATACTAATCAATGTGCATAAACCAAGAACACACAGTTTTCTATCGTGCAACCTAAACACAAACAATACAAATTTATTATAACAATATCTACTTCAATCAATAACTATCAATATATATATATATAACTTCTTATTTGTTGCAAATAACATATATTGTGTTAATAATAAATATATAATATATTTATTAAAATAATACTGTATAATTAACAAGTTGAATGTCACGCCAATTTTACCGGGATTGTCAGTGGCGCCACGCCAATTTTACCGAGATTGTCAGTGGCGCCACGATGCGGACTATATTTCTATTAATCTGAGCACGCCGGTCACCGGTAATCCCCGTGACATTCAACCTGTTAACATAATACTAAAAGTTGTATACCCTAGGAAACAATCGGTATCATGAATCCATTGTTTAATAAAATGCGATGCAATTGGTTCCGTGGATTGTCCAAGATTTCCTTGTAATCTGTCCATTGCTTCAAGACACAAAGCTGGATTATAATATAATGTTGCAATTACTACTTGAAGACACATAGTCCTTAATTCGGATGTTTTAACTTCTCTCAATAAACGTTCCAGTACCAATTGCACGAATGAAGGTATGCACTGGAAAATATTGAAATATGAAATGAGCAATAAAAAATGACACATTCAATAAATTCAATGTAACTGTAATATAAATATACCTGATCAATGTGACCTTTACATTGTAAAATAATAATTTCTAATAATTTTGCAGCATGACATTCTGGATCTTCGCCTGCGTCCCCAGTTAATACCTAATAAACAAAAGAATTTGTTATTAATGATATAATATTTGAAAAATATTGTTCACACAAATGTCTTTAAGTTGTAAAAAAAAAAAGAAGAGGAAGAAGAAGACACTTACTGCTTTACACATATTAAACATAGCAATTATATGATTTTCATTGGATAAAAATGCTGGTGTATCTACAATAATATAATTGTGTAACGCTGGCATCATGTCGGTGAAATAATCAAAACCATCTTTTTGGAAAAGTTGATATATAAGTTCCAAAACTTTCCACATATCTTCAGAAATTGACTGGAGGGTTAAATCGTAGACTAATGAAAGCGCTTCTTCATAAAATTCTATAAACATAATACCATTGTAAATAATATATATATATATATTATTTATTTAAAATAAAAAAATAAGAAACATACCCATGACACTTTGACTGAATATATGGGCTACTACTTGTAAAACAGTTGGTTCTAATCGTGCCATAATAAGGGGTTCATTTTTCATCACGTTCAATAAGGTTTCTATTGTATTCAAAATACCCATCGCAGTTATGGCTTTTTCGTCGCTACCCTCATCAGTTTCCAAAACTTTACTAAACGTTGCAGCCTACAAAATATTATTTTATTATTTCATTTTTATTCACACACATATTTTCATGATATAATTGTATATATACAGTAAGACCCCGATTAACGCTGTTTCAGTATTACGCGGTAGTATTGGGGTTCCCCTAAATCACACACTGTATAAATACTTGTTGTATATGTGTGCAAATGAAACGGCCATGCACCAATCAAAAGCAGTGCACTATACAGCGACGGTGTACACTATGTATTTTTCTCAACGCTCCTTTGTATTTGTTTGTGTAGTTCTCTGTTCTTTTTCACTGATCCCCATTTTACATATTTACATAAGACCGTATTAGGTTGCTTCGTTTAACGCTGGAACTTATTGAAACGTATCCCCCGTGTTAAGCGGGGTCTTACTGTATATTACTCTACTGTATATTACTATATTGTATATATTACTATATTGTATATATTACTATATTGTATATTGCTATACTGTGTATATTACTGTATTGTATATTGCTATACTGTGTATATTAATATACCGTATATTGCTATACTGTGTATATTGCTATACTGTATATTACTATACTGTATATTGCTATACTGTGCATATTACTATACTGTATATATTACTATACTGTATATTGCTATACTGTGTATATTACTATACTGTATATTGCTATACTGTGTATATTGCTATACTGTATATTGCTATACTG